ACCGGGACTTAAGAAGCTGCAGGACAGATGTCGCAAGTGCATGGACTTCCTGGGGGGAATATGTAGAATAGTGTGGCAGTTACAGCTTCCTAGCTCAATTTTTTCTGGGAAAGACTCAGTACTTATCAGCACCCCCTCATATAGTCTGTTTGATGGCAACCCACCCACCCATCCACAGGCAAGGTAGGTACAACAGCCCCACATAGCCTGAGAAGACTCCACCAAAAAATAAGTACTTGCCATGCACAGTCAGAGAGGAGTACAAATAGGGTTTGCTGTTTCCTCCCCTCATTCTGAACAAAACAGAGCTCATTCCACAGGCTATAAGCTAGAATTGCTCTGAAGGTGCCATTATGTTCAGCACTTTTCCCAAATGCTACCTGGATGAAAGGAGAACTCTTCTGGGTCTAAAAAAGGGGTGCATCAGTATATAAAAGCAGGAAAACTCAGGTGAAGGCCCTTCAGATCATTGTAAAAGCCCTTTGAGCAATGATTGGTAGGCTTCTGTAATCTACAGAGTTCTGTCTCAACATGCCTGTTCACTCTCTTCACTGTCAATTCCCCAATTTTTCTATATGGAGAAGTGGTAGCCCATAAGGCGTTGGGCTGTGCCTCTTCTCATGTAGCTACTGAGATAATGGGTCACTTACGGTTGCCTTCAGGAAATTGCAGGTATACATATCCCCTTATCTGGGCTATCTTTGGTGTCCTCTACAAGCCAGAGAAGAGACATTCAACTGTTCGTGTGAATTCTTCCAAGAGTGTGATTTACTCACCAAGCTACAGTCAGATGCAACCAGTTGAAGTAATCCAACATTTATACAGTAATCAAAGATACCTGCCAGAACAAAACATTCCTTTCCTCTGAAAACAGAGAGAATCCATAGGTATGTGGTAACTGAATTAAACTACAACAAGTTCTTTGATGCAGCTTACAAAAACAATACACTCAATAGTAGCAGACTTGAACTGGATGCCATGGACAAACTTCTATGCTTGTTCCTTCGCCTCCAAAGGACCTTCAGCCGAATCACAAAACTGGTCGTTTTTCTCACAAGTCCCATGGTCTTTTCATTGGCAGACATTTCTGGCCTTATTCAGGACACTTCTATTCTCCACATTCAAAAGGTTCAGATTAAAACTATTGCCAGGCCTCAGGGTTGCGTGGACACATCCAGCTTTGCCAGTGACTCAGGACAAGGTGTCCCAAGCCAAAAAAAGATCCACAACATCAGTTGGCTTTGAACTAAGGCTGCTTAAACTAATCTCAGTTTTTCCTATCAATTGGGAAGGGGGCTCGAGATCATGCTCCTTGCAGAGCAGAGTTTCATCTCTAAAAGAGGGTCACAGATGATTCTACACACCAGGGCAGACTGACTTGAGCTGACAGGACATTAATCACACCAAGTGGAGCCTATCATTACAGGCATTCATCAAATAACCTGACTACTAGCACACAGGTGATAGATCTACTTTGCTTCCCCAGAGAGCAACAACAACGGCAACAAAACCCCTCCAGGTATTAGACTGGGATTAGGAGACCTTCAGTGTTTCCTTGGCTGCAAAGCTTACTGCATGCCTTCCTTCAGATAGCTCTCCTGGGGAAGACCTCTTCAATAGTAAAAGCAGAAACGCACAGAGCCATTTTCATAGTTCCTCACTCTTGGGTTCCAACCCTTGTAGAACTGTGTCTAAGCAGACTTTAAAAACAAAACAAAAAACTCCCAGTTAGGGACAGTTTATCATCCAGATCCAGACCACAGCTTCATGCTTAGTTATTGAAAGGGACTCATTTTGGAACAAAGAGTATCCTAAGCTGGTTGTCCTCACTGTGCTCATGTTGCATAAAGAATCCACTAATAGATTCTGTAAGGTAACTTTGAGCCTTCCATAGATAGCGTAATGTTTTTAAAAGGGGCACATATGGAAAGCTTCATATGTTTTTAAATTTTTTGCAGGAGGGCATGGATAGGGGTCTGGTAGTCAGCAATCTAAGGAGAAAGGCAGCTCTAGCAATTATTTTATTGTCTGACAAAGGTATCTCATTGTACATGCACAAAAATATCAACAGTTTTCTTAGGGATAACTCCTCCTGTACTGCACAGATTTCCCTCATGGAAGCTTCTTCACATTCTCACCAAGCTTAGGTCAGTATTTTTAAAACACCCATAGCAGAGGGTGTTTGTCCTCACTGCCATTGCCTCTGCAAACAGTCTCAGACCTGGGAGGTTCTTCCTCTAAATCAGAATGAGTTATACTCCAGATGGTTCTTGTTATTTCTCCCGTTTACTCCCTACCTTCATACCAAAAGTTATTCCACCTTTCATTAGGACCAGGATGTATGCCTACCTTCCTTTGCCAAAATCCACACACAACTCTAGAGGAGGCATAGCACCTGCTGAACGTCAGGAGTGTCATTAAAGAATTACCTGTAGAGAACCAGGGAGTTATTTTTCTGACTGTTTCTCCTCTGTTAAGGAGCATGGGGGGGGGGGAAGCAAACAGCCAGGTATATCAAAGCCTATGTGTCTGCTTGCTACAAGTCTTTGGATAAAGCACTTCCTAAAAGTGGCACTGCTCATTTGATGTGAAATGCTACTGCCTCAGTGGCATTTAGCACAAGAATTCTGTTGAGTATATGTAGGGCTGCCACCTAGAAGGTGTAGTCTTCCCTCAAGTGGCGTCATACCATGGATTTTTGGCCTCTACAATGGCAGTCTTTTGGATGTAAGATTCTCTAGCAGGTGATTCCTCAATAGAGGAGGTTACCTTGCCGAGGGCTGTAGTTAGCCTGAGAACAGCCTCGGACTCATAGCTTTGGTCAGTCCCACTAAATATGTCCTTCACTCCGTAGGAAAACAACCTTGGCATAACATGAGTGACTCCTTTTATACATGGGGAGAAACATCCTTCCACACCAGTTGATAACAAATGCGATTGGGGTAGTTTGGTTGTGTTTTGGGTCTAAGGGGGAAGTGAAGGTTATGTTTTCTTGGACCAGTATTCTGTCAGATATACTTTGATTTCAAAATATTCTTGCATTGAGCAGGGGATTGGACTTGATGGCCTCATGGGCCCCTTCCAGCTGCATTTGTCTATGATCTCTGGTTACCTGTTCCATTTTAAACCTTGGTTTCTGAAGCTTGCAGATGAGACTTAATTCCCAGGTTATTCTCACCACCAGAGGGAGCTGGGAGCTCAAAAAAGGTTGGCTTTAAAATCCTGTCTATAGACTAGTGGACGGGACGATCCACTGCAAGGATGTTCCCTTCCCCTTGTGTAAAAGGAACATCTCAGGATGAGTTCCAGTCTTAATTTTTAGCCAGTGCTGAACTAGCCCATCATATCAGTTTGCTCTTAAATTTTGAATATTTAAGGATGGGTATCAGATTTATGCAATTGTATAATGGTTGCAATTGCTTGTGAAAGTGTCTCTTTAAAGTTTGTCTTTCACGATCCCCACATCCCCCCTGCTTGTTTCACCAAACTAAGAGCTCATGCCTCAGCTGCCACCTGTTGATTACATCAATATTACCTATTATTATTGATAGATGTCCGGGTCATATGTAATTTTAAAAGAATGAAATAGAAATTGTTTATTGTTACAGATGTTGATAGGATAAACAGTGTTGTTAACTCTTAAATAATCATTCTCCTTTATCCCTCTCAACCAGTATTTTCCCACCCAGATTCCAAAACTCAATCTCTTCAACTCTAACTCCCTATCTCTCTAAAACCTCAACTCTATCTAACTCCACCTCCTCCTGGTGAGTCTCTTATATCTCGTGACTCCGCCCCTCCAGCACTCCCTTGGTCTGTGCAGATAGCATATCAATATTCATGACCTGGGCGGACGCCACAGTGTCCTAATCACAAAAGTTGCCAATCTCTACTTAGATTTCTGTAGTTTCAGAGGTCTGTGCTTCTGTTCCATTAGGGCTATTTCTTTGGCAACCTCCCATACATTAATAGGGAGCTTTAGCTCTTAATTGTATATTTAGCTCTGTGCAAAATTCCAAATCTAGGGGTTATGCTTCCCTAACTGAAAATGGACAAATCTACTTTGCAATTTCTAAAAGAAGTACAGTTTCTAAAATCAGCATAAACATTGAGGTGTGGTCTTCCTGAAGCTGGGAAATTGTGCATGTCTTCATTTCTCTAGATCCTGTAGGACAGTAAAAATTCAGTGGCCGGACCTTAACATGCACGTATGGTGAGACAATTCCTCTGTAAGTTCTGTTGATTCAGATGGGTCTACTCTAATGGTGACTTACTTTAATAAGTAAGTTTTTTTATAGAAGTCTATAAAACATAAGTTAAATAAATAAATAAATAAAAGAATCAGCTTACAGAGAAGTTGATTCACTAATTTCTTGTTGATTCCATTGGCCCACTCTAATGTGATTTGCGGTGCTAAGCACTAAGATTTTGGCCATAGAAAGAGAAATGACAAAACTTACAGAATAAATATATAGAATATGATCTGTATATTTGTAACTGGTTACATTTCATTAGCTTTGTGTAAATCCTTTTGATATGGTATGGCATCTGTTTTAGTATTCTTTTATGCATACCAGTTAAATTTACTTACATGTTTTCCATAATTATCTCTAATATGTGTATTTCTACATCTTTCTTGTATATATTTCACTTCCTTGGTGTAACTCTTAAAGAACTCCTTAAGATGTGTGAGGGAACAGCATCCCAGAAAATCATTGCCCTCATTTCAATATGTATATGTATATTTTGTGGCTGTATGGAATAGAGGTTTCTAAAAGTACAGTTGTTATTATTACTTAATATAGAAAAATGCGGTGTTCATGTACCTATATTGTCAAAAAACAAACAAACAAAGGCATTAGGGACTCTTTCTGAACCTTTTTAGGATGGTTATTGGTCTTGTTTATTTTTTAAAATAAGAGCATTGGAATCTTTCTCATGTTGTAAAATGTAAGCATATTTTTTTCAAAATTTCTTTCAATTTCTTTTGCTATTTTTAGGTTGTTGAAGAGCCTGAAGCCGCCAGTTGCATTGGCCCAGGGTGTTCCAATGTGGCTCAGCCAGGTTCCGTGTACTGCAGCCATGAATGCATCCTCAACCATGCTGCAGCTACTATGAAATTTCTAAGTGAAGGCAAAGAGCAGAAACCAAAAGAGAAGATTAGATCAAAAGTTGAACGAACTGTTGTTGTAAAACCTCAGCCTGTGGTAAGTCATAGTTAGTTTTGAAATAGTTTAAACCCTTCCATGCACAACTTTTTCCATTAGGAGTGCACATAGTAACTATTTAGTTTTTGCACAGTAAAGTATTGATAATATACATCAGTTTGTTCTACAGTCTGTGTTGAATGGTTCTTTCTTGACCATGTTGAATGGTTCTCTCTAAGACTAAGCTATTTGATGACATTGGCCTGTCTGCCACTCCAGCAGCAACCCTAACTTGTACTTTAAAGATAGCTGTATTCAAATAATTATGTATCAGAAACAACAAAACAATAGCAGAGTATTCACATTTCAGTGAAAAATGCAACCAGCATATCACAAACCTACACATAAGCTCAGATATGTCTAATAATCATTTTAAAATCACTTTTTCTTGCATAGCAGATAGTTAGCACTGCTGTTGCAGTCATAAACAGCAAAGAAATCACATGGTATCTGTTAACCAACTTTGGTGCAGTTTAAAGTAGACCTAACTTAACTTGAGGCATACTTCGTAGGCAGTTAAACAACAAAGGAAATCCTTCAGCTTTGTTCATTGTAACAATAGTAGAATAATTGGACAGAAGTTTATTTATTTAAAATATATTTGCCTGCCTTTCTTTTAAGAAAAGACCCCCAAGGGGCCATGTATAATTAAAACACAATTTTAAAGCTAAAACCTGAATTATTCAAATATTAAATGAATTAATAAAGTATTAAGAATGTTAGGTAAAGCCTTACTAAAACAGATTTAAAAGCAATGAAATGCTAACCATATCATTTTAAAATATCTCCTAGACAGGGTTTTTTTAAAAATGCTTCCTCATATTTGCATTGTTTTTAGTTGGGGTGAGTTTGTGTGGACTGATATAATAATAACAATACTTAGGTTGTATGTAGCACTTCAGATTGTCCAGATCCATGAATGTATAACACTACTCAGTCAGATCAGCTGTGGTCTGGTGTTCTTTTACAACAGTGGCCAGTTCCGAGAAATCCAGAAGCATGGCATAAAGAAGACAAATCTTCTCCAGCTATTTGCCCTCCATCAGTCAAACTTCATTGATTTAATTCCTCTTGGCATAAAATCATTGTACAGGAATCATGGCTTAATATTTGCTAATTAGCCAGCAATACTATGTACAGTTATTCTCATTGCATCTTAGAAAGTGTAAAGATGCAGGACAAAATTAGCCAGGGAACGAATCTGTTCCACTACTGTTTAGCTTGAAAAAAAAAGATTTGCATGGGAGACACAATAGAGATATATAACATTATGTATGGTTTAGTGTAGAGAGATTAAGATAGCTAGTTGAATAGCTCAGTAAGTTAGGTATCTGCCTGCTGAGCCAGAGACTGGGTATACAGTTGTCACCTGTGCATCCCACAAGAGATAGCTTTTGTGGTGTTGGGCAAGCTGCACAGTCCCAGGACACCCCCAGAAGAAGGAAATGGTAAACGGAATACCCTCTACCTAGAAAATGCTGAAAAAGATTGCTGTAGGTCAGAATTGGCTTGAGGACACACAACTATTATTAGAGTAGATAAAGAAAGGCTGTTCTCTCTCCCATAATGCTAGAATTTGCTTTTATTCACTAAATTGATGGGAGCTTGGCAGTAGATAAAATGGAGCACATCTTCACACTGTGAAGAGTTAATTGTGGAATTTGTTGCCACAAGAATTTCCTGGTGGCTGACCACTTGGGGATTAGACAGATTAGTAGAAGTTAGGGCCCTTTAGTAGTTGATAATCTGGATGGCTTCAGGCAACCTGCAAGAATCAGAGAGGTACAGTGCCTTTATTTATCAGATGCTGAGGAATGAAAGGAGAAGTGCAGTTGTATTAATGGTGCTTCCTGCAGGCAGCTGGATAGAAAGTGTGTGAACTTAATGTTAGTTAGACCCTTGATGTGATTTGCCATGGCTCTTTATTTCTTTATGTTCTTCAGTAGTATTTAATAACATGTAATAGCAGTACTGTAACAGTAATAATTGCAGTAGCATTTTGAGGAAAGCAAGTGTTGTGTACATATTGTTTATACTGTCTGATGCTGAAAAATGAAAGCACACAAGAAATCACCAGATGAATTTATGTTAGAGGAAGGTTTTAACCAGGGTATTTCCTGTTTCACCACATAGTCTCTTAGCCACTATTGGAATGTTGGCTTTCCTGAATTCATTGGACTTGTTTTCCTAAGCTCCTCCGTATTAGGAGATCCTTAGCGAAGACATGCCCTTAAACAGAAGAAAGGCCAAGACTATAGTAATACAGTGCTAAGTTTCAGTTGACCTTCAGATAGCTTTCCCTGTTAGCAGTCTTTCAACGAGCTAGGAATCAATTTTGGTTGACATTATAACAATGCAGAAGATTTGCAATGGACAGGCAAATACTGGTGAAATGTATATATCTTTACAAAGAATTGCTCTCTATATTTCATATTACCCATTGAAAGCTACTTCAGACTGGTAGGCAAATTGTATGCTAGTCTATATGGTAGTGTAGGACTTTGAGGGTTTGTATGATTTGACATGGAAATATAAGAATAACCAGAGGACATTGCTTCAGAAGCAATTTAATTTGTTCCTTGTGCCCATTTTAATTGGTAGGTTAGCTGAACATTAGCTGCATACCATTGCTCAACAGTGCATTAAATTTGACACTGATTGTGGATTCTCTATGCGCTCTTGTAGCATTCAGCATAGGAATCTTGATTAATTGGTATAACTAGGTTGCTACCTTTAGGTTTGCAGTGTTTAACTAATAGCAAAATATTTTGCTCTTTAGTGCTGTTTTGTGTTGAATATGTTGTTGAGATATTTAGTGATTGAGGTTCTGCTGGTTACACAGGCAGGTACCAAACCCCTTTCCATGCAGAAGAAACCAGCTCCTGAGAAGAGAGACAGCAACATGAAGAAAGCAGTGGTGACAGCTGTTAAGACTGAAGCAAATGCTCAGACAGTAGTTAAAGAATCAACTTCAGAAATCAGCACACCATCCTGGGCAAGCGATCATAATTATAATGCAGTAAAGCCAGAAAAGACTCCTGCCATTTCATCATCACTATTGTTGAAATGTATGTATTCCACAGGAATCTTCTTCTGCAATCATTTACATTTTCCTTGGGTACTTTTACAATTTTTGTTCCTGCAAACCTAGAAAGGGGCTTTAATGGCTCCTCTTCTCCATCTTCAAAGATTTGCACACACATCTCTCATATAAAGCTTCAAGGCTCATATGTAATATTGACAACTTGGGGTTTATCCTTGAGTTGTAAAAAAGTAGCTTTTAACTATTCAAGTTTATATTTAACTTATTTTATATTCTTTATATATGACTGCTATTTTTTTTCTAACAGAAGGTAGGTAATTATTCATATTTATCATTGCGTAAGATTATGTTATGTACAAAGTAACTGTTGTATTTGACTTAATGTTTTGTTCCTACCAGCTTTGCATTTTCGGTTTGGAATATCAGGACATCTAAAGGATTTGAACGAGTAACCTACAGATGTACACAAATACACAGGATTTACTGTTAATGGTGGTGGTGGTAGGGGGAAAGATGGAGTATTCTTCTGAGAAATGGATGTTATGTAGTGATGTCAAAGTCCTGCTTAAATCTGAATGCTTATTTTAAACCAGTGTAAGCTGTGTGCACAGTAAGCTCACATGAGGGTAGAACAACAGGCAGAGAGAAATTATCACCTTGCATGTTGTCGTTTGGCAGAAGAACATCCTTGGCATCTTGTTAGTTTATAAAAGGTAAGTAGATAAATGTATTACAGTGTATTAAATAAACAGTGTCGCACTGCACGGCTTTGTGCTTTTCATTTGTTGCTTGGCATGGAGTAATTGAGTCAATTTCAAGACACATTGAAAATGAAATTTTGGGCCAGCAGCATCAGAAAAGGACAAAACTATTATGTCCCATAGCCAGTGAGAAAAATGTCTTTGGTTAACCCCTGAAGTAATGAAATTTTGGGGCTTAAGAAAAAGGCCCTGAGTACCCCTTTCTGCCTGTCTTCATTTGAAAGGGATTTGCCCCACAGAATTACTTGCCAGACAGTAGTTGGTGAGAGGAGGAGGATGCTGTTTCTAAGGCTTGGATGATTCACATGCTTAACTTCAAATCTGTTACAGGTTTGTTGTTCATTTCCACATTCATTAATTCAGATATCCTTACAAAGAAATCCACAGAATATCCTAGTCTGTTTGCTTGTACATACCATAGGTCATCTGAGACACAGCAGTAGCCAGAAAGGACCAGTTTTTACCCATCTTACAAAACTTTCCCTACCTAGTCATCTGAAAGATAAGTCCCTTGCCAAGCCAGTGATCATTGAGAGTCTTTAAGAGTCAACTTTTCATTTAAATTGTGTGTTAATCAGTGTAGTGGCAAAACATGGCCATTTCTCCAAAATCCACAGCTAGGAGAAAGTATTTATGGTTGGAACATCTTTTTGTTGTTATTGTGCTTAAAAAATCAACATACTCAATTCAGTTCATATTCAGTGAAGAGCTTTCACCGTATCTAGGAGACCTTCCATCTTACTGTTAAGGTAAGTTTTACAGATGTCTTGAAGTTCTCTAAATCACTGCTAAACTATCAAATATAAATTCTTACATTAAAACGATTCATTTCTCCTTCAGTGTTAGAGATCGTCCAAGAATGGGGTATTCTTCCCTATTGACTTGGAGGAAGTGCTGGGCAACATTTTTGTCTATAAACTGATGCTTGGACCTTACGTTATGTTGATCTGGGCATATACAGCAGCCTGAGTGGTTGATCATCACATGGTGGAGTAGATTGGATCTCACACACAGACATGGAACTCTTTATTATTATTCTCTGTTCTGATCTCTGAAACATACACTGACATTGTAGAGAGGGGTAAGTTGTACATCTTTTGATGTTAGAGACATGTCACCATATTAAGCTCCAGCTACTTTTGCCTCTCTTTTTACACTTCACAAATTTCTAAAGTAACACGTCACTTCTCTGCTGTGTGCCCACATTGGGTACTGATGACTATGTCAGAGGGATGATCTCTGTGGTGCAATGCCTGGGCACCAGTATTTCTTTTCCCGAAAATTTTCTTTAACCACATCATATCCTTAACCTTGCCCATAAGCTTATGGGAGGCCTTATCAAGAGTGCTAGCTTTGAAGAAGAGCAAACTACCTCTTGCTTACTCTATAACACGTGTGTCACACTCAAGGCCCGCGGGCCGAATCTGGCCCGCCAGGCCATTTCATGTGCAAAGATGCTGGGAATCCGCCCAGTGGGACTTCTAATCCCAGCATTCCAAGCACCGAAGAGTCAGAAAGTGGTAATTGAATGAGTCGGATTATATTTAATATGATAGAGAGTAGATACATTTCTATAGTCTTACAGATACAACAGGGCCTTTGAGGGCAACCACAATGCCAATGTGGCCCAAGAAGAAATTGAGTTTTACACCTCTGCTCTATAACAATAGTGTACTGTTTGGTCCTTTCCACAGTTCTGTTCAGTGATGTCACCTAGTGTCTAATGGGATATACTTTGTTTCTACTCAACGCACATTATTCTGGGAGAATTCTTTTGGCAAAACAAAATCACTGGAAACAGGAAGAGCAGTTTATGCTCAAGGAGCATGTGGTATGCCGGTAGAGGAGAGTATTTTCAGCATTATATCCTATTATGCTGACAGAAGAGCTTACCATTCACACTTAATTTAACTGCAAATTTCATATAAAATTCTGTAAGAAAGAATGGGAAAACTGGCAGAACAGACTCTGGATTCATATCACCAGTCCATGGATAGTAAATCAGCGTCAAGGAGACAATTAGGGTAAACAGGAGAACAAATGGGTTTGAACCAGTCACTTCTATCACAACTTCTGTAATTTGCTCACAAGTACTCATCCATTAAAGACAAAATTTCTGTTAAAATAAGGCATAGGGTTTTTTTTTTTTTTTAGTATTGTAAGCAATTTCTTTTACCTTATTCCATTGAAGCAGGTCAGGATGAGAGAGACCACAGTGATCTGAATAGGGTTTTGACCATGAATGCTTCACCCTAGCCTAACACCCTAGCCATTCCACACTGAATTTATGCCCTAACTTACAGGAGATCAGTTTTGTTGTGGGGATGATCCTTCGAAAAGATTGCTTTCTGGGAGAAGCGAGGTGGAAAGCAAAATTGCAGCATATTTGCCCATGCTGTTAAGTACACAACTTTAACAAAATAAACTATGCCCTGTCTTAGTATAATTTTGTATATTTGTGTATATTAGCATTTCTGATGCAGCATTGTATATGTATCATTAGATAATTGGGTAGGGGATTGTTTACTAGCTACCATACTGTGTACAGTGATACTGTATAATGCCTTGAGATGGTTGCAAGACAAATATACAAGCAAAACTGATGATATGGAAAAATAATAGTGCAAAGTGGTTAATGTGGCTATAGGAAACTTTCTCAGAAAATAGAACATAAAATCCCAAGTATGGACCTTGTGCCACCTACTGGACAGGAGTGAGAAACATTCTTAATTTCTTGTTACTGTCCTACTGATTCACTAGAATCAATGCATCAGTTTCAAGATGTAAAATAAATGGCTCTGTGCCAGCTTAATGCAGTTGGCATACATTTCAGTGGCAAACTAGTGCAAGTTAAGAAGTTAGTGCAGCATGTTGAGTTTGTGATGCAGCATGCAATATCAAATACCTACCCTGGCTTCTTAACCTAGAGGAATTCACAGAATTTTTCTTTCAGCAAAAGGTAAAAAGGTCTAAATTGCAATATTAATTTTGGCACCATCTGGATGACCACAGGTTTCTTATTCCTGTCTTGTAGGAAGTGCCATAAATTGAAAGTTACTTGAAAACAAATGAGTAAACAGAGCCTGATGTATCTTGAACATATCATGAGAAGACAAGACCCAGTGGAACAGGCAAGAATTCTGGAAAAGTTGAAGGCAGAAAAAGAAGACCAAACATGAGGTGAAGTGACTTAGTAAAGGAAGTCACAGCCTTTAGTTTGGACTTTTGGGAGGTCATTAATACATAGGGTTAGTATACGTCCAAGATTTGAGACAGGAAAGTATACATTCACAGGCCACAGAACAGTCTAGGTGCGATTGAGCTGATACAATTCTATTCTTGGTCAACTGATCTGTAGTGTTAAGTCAGTAGTTTCAAAATACACTCTCACAGACTTTGGTTTTGTGAGAAGTGAATAGAGTAAGGAGCGGACAGGAAGGGAAACTACCTGCATTCTCAAGACATGGCCAGAATGTTCCAAAGGCATTTTGGGAAAAAAATTGCAGTCCTTGTACACAAGAGTAAGTGTAGGAGGCATACAATCCTTATGTATGAGAGTAGGTACAAGAGGCATGCCATAGACCTGTAGTAGTTTTAGAAGTATCTGTGCTAGTCTGTGCCAGCACATCATGAAACTTTAGGGTGAATATTGTAAAGTTTGAGGAAGATAGATCATGATTTTGAATCACATGGCTTATTTGTATGACAATTTGTAGGACAGAAAGTTAAGATTACTCTAGGAATTCCCTAATCAATTTTTTTTTAAAAATCTGAATACTTAGAGGCCCAAATTCTTTTGCCTATTGATGCTGTAGTAATATGAATGGTGTGACTTGAGGTAAATTAAGTTAAAAATTATAGTGACTTGCATGATTAACTGCAATTGAGAATGTCTATGCTGACTTCTTAACTTGGGTCAATTTGCCTCAGAATTATGCCACTTGTGTAGCTTTTCAAGAGTATTTTGGGCAGTGTGTGCCATCCTAAAACACTTGTGAAACATCTTGAATTTCTGGTTCATCATGGGGCAGGTAAATAGAAATATAAACAATGAACAGCAATTCAAGTGTAGTTTAGTGTTAGACAGTTGGTTATTAAAGCAAAGTATGTTACAGAACTGCCAGGATCAGAGAATGGAAGCAGAATTGTTTTCCACAAGAGTTCACTGGTGAAGCTGCTCTATTCCTGCTTGTCCAACTTTTCCATGATTAAAGGTTGAAGGTAATTACTCTAGTAGTATAATACTTGATGTTTTTTTCCATCA